TTAGAATTAAAAGGAAAGGAGGGGAAGAAAAGGAGAAATTCCCCAAAGATAAAATAGTCCTCTCCCCCAAACCCTTTGCTGAGTTATCTTCTCTGAGAAGTTCTTCTGTCCATTTAACAAACCTTCATCTTCCTGTCTTTGTTTCTTAGAGCTCTTTTACCAAAAATACCCCAAGTGAGTGGTTTCAAAGAATTGGAATGTGTTGTCTCCGTTTTGGATGAGGCGTCGAAACGCAGAACACTGGTAGGGCCATGCATGGGCTGTGCTAAGAAAGGTCCTCCTGGTCTCCTCGTCTGAAATGCCAGGGATTTCTTGACATATTTTGGCTTACAGAGGTCTCCTAAAGTGGCACCTTCTTTCTGTGTGTGTGTGTCTTTCCACGTCTTTTCCCCCTCTTTAGCAGACCTTACTCCAAGGGATTAGGTCTAGGACCCAACTACCTTGCTGTCACCTCATTAGGATAACAAAAGAAGATTCCTGTTTCTACACAAGGCCAAATTCAGACACAGGGGTGAGGGCTTCAACAGACCGATTTCATGAAGGGACTGCAAGTCACAGCACTCTTACTCAGCCCTTCCATTCAATGCACTCAAAGGTCTCTCGATCATTTACTGTTAACCGAGGTCTTAGAATATAGCGTGCGCTGCTTTGAGCCAGACGTGACTTGAGGCGAGGGCTTTGATGGGTTTGAGTACACATGTTAGCATATGCCCTTCCTCACTAGACCCTGAGCTAGCACAGAGCAGGGCATGAGAAATATTCCGGCTATCCCACATGCCTCACAGAACCTGGCACACGGCGGTGGCGGTGTTGTCAGTTGCCTTTGGGTTGCGTCCGACTCATGGAGAACTCGTGTGTGTGAAAGCAGCCCGGATCCACATGGTTCTCAAGGCTGCGGCCTTTCCGAAGCAGACCGCAAACTGTCCTTTGAGGGACCTTGGAGTTGGTTCAAAACCACCAGCCTTTCAGGCAGTGGTTGAGAGATGTTTACGCCACTCAGACACAAGGTAGCAGAAGGAACGTGGGCCTGCTGTGACAATTGTCAAGGGTTTAAAAGGAAGATGGCAACCTTCTCAATTCCTCTCAAGCGAAAATTGGAAGTGCCACTACACTCACTTCCTGGCTGTGGGTCGCGCTGTTTACAACCCGCCCAGGGGAACCTCTACCTGGGATTCTTGCACATTGTCTCTGTTTGTTGCCTTTATGTGGCTACAGCTCTCTGCGCGCCCATCTTTACCTGAGTGCAGTACTGTCTTTCAAGCCTCTGGCTCTCCTTTTGTTTCTGGCAGGTCAGCGACACCACGGACACGATGGTGCTGTTGTAGTTCTCGTGGGAAGACGTCCAGGATATCAAGGCCGTGGTTGAGCTTAGGATGTGCACACTCACACGCTGGGGCTTCTCGGTCAATTCTTCAATCCACTCTCCTGAAGGACCTGCGGATTTTAAATCAGCGCACAAGTGAATTTGGAAGCTGAGCTGGGGGAGGTAAAAGATTCAAGTTCTAAAAACACATTGCTTTCTTTTGCCCTACAAAGATCTTCAGTGCAAGACTGGCAGTGAGAGTGAGCCCTTTAGATTCCCCATCTCGCTCACGCCCTCACCTCCACGACCTTCACACTGACCTCAACAGCAACAGGAGCATCAGCAACCAAAAAATAATTCTCCGGAGAGACTGCGCTGAACTTCATTTACCATGTGCATCTGAGATCATTCCTTTACATCCACAGCCAGAGGGAATTTACTTCTTTTTAAAACATCAAGTGGGTGTGGCTGTGTGGCATTTCATCTCTTTATAATGCCTTTCCTTTGGTCTTTAGAAATCATGACTTTGGGAGTCAAATTAGCCTCTACTACAACATCATCGCGTAAAGAATTTATTACATTTGGCAACAACAGGCTCAACGAGGCAGGCCGTGACTGCATTAGAGAAGAAACGGGCAACAGGCTGGCTTAATTAACAGAAGGTGGCTCCAACCTGGCTGATCATTTGAAGGACATGGTGGGATCCTCATTATAAAAAATCTCCAGAGAAGTGCCACCATGACATTGGTTCTCTTAGGTTTCTAGAGTGATTATTAGCACAATGCCTGACACTTAGGAAGGACTCAAGAAATGTCAAGGTGATTATTATCTGCCCCCAGATTTCCCATTGAAATGCAAATGTGCAACTTCCTTTTATTTGCTTAAGATGCATCTCTCGCTTTCTGTTAAGAAAGCTGTATTCCTTGGCTAGAAGAGAGGAGAAAAAGCAAGTGGCTCTGCTGAGGAGACACACATTTCCATCTTCTAATCCTTTAATTTAAATTAAATCCTTTAATTTCCATCACGAGCCCGTGAGATCAGTACTACTAACTCATCTTTCAGTTGAGGAAGCTTCGCACTCAGGACATTTAGAGATACCTTAGCATTGGGATTGAAACATGGAAAGTTTTGTTCCAAAATCCAAGCTCTTCACCCTGGTGTCAGATTCTCTGGAGCACTCAGAGAGGGAAGAATTGTGTGGAGACAAGGGCCTATGTGTCACCTTCGCTCCTGAGCAGGGACTGTAACTTTAGTGAATGACCTAACTTTTCCAAACCTTAGTCATTGCGCCTTTCAAATGGGTACATATCTACTGTTAGAATTGGAAATAACTTTAGTGGTACAATGCCTTGCTTTATTGATGAGGAAACAGAGGCCCAGAGACAGAAATGACCGGACGAATGTCAATGAGCTAATAAGCACTTGAAACTCAATGAAGATAGCAGTCTCATGGGTCTCATGGGAAGAACTGAATGCTATACTCTCATTTTCAAATGCTCTCACACCCAATACTTCCCATACTTGAAATATCTTCCAGGCAATTATGAAGATACTATATGTTAAAGGATTTTTCAAAAATTTAATCAGTATTTCTCACTCATTAAGCACAACTATCACACATGTCTTAGAGCTTAAATTCTGAGCACTCATTTGCAGAAGGTTATGGATGGTAGTGAAAACTCAAAATCCATTAGCAGAAGTCCCACATAGACTAAGCCTCCCCTGACTTTCTTCTGATCATTAACCAAGACTGTAGAGAGAATACATGGGCAGGGTGGATTTGAAAGTAGATTATCTCCACCCCTTTCTAGCCAGACAGGGGAAGTCTCTCTTAGACATTGACTGGTATACCTTTGATAGAGATCATCAAACTGCAGAGAGTATAAAGGCTCAGAGGGTCATGACCTGTCAGTCCCCCCCTACTGCCTTGGTCTGAAGGTCCTGGACTGATCTTGTAAGCTCTTCTGTCGAACATAATGGACATGTCCCAATCACAGTCTTATTCCTGCTTCTGTAGTTTCATCGGCAGCTATGATGTGTCTTCTCTGCCACCAATCATGAGTGTGTGACCGTTTCCTTTGTTCAGTGTCTTAATTTCATGAGTGCCCTCCCTGTAAATCCTCATGCGAATGGCTTCCCTCATCCAATGATGTGTCTCCGTCTTTGTCCCTTTTTAAACTTAATAAAATTTCTCCTTAAATTATAATTGAGTTGGGGCATTTTTTGTACCCTAAATCTCATAGACTATTTTCAAATCTTTTCATCTGTTAAATAAATGGATCTCCTGTCTTCTAACTCCCCTTTTCCTCCCCTTTTTAGTTTTTTGAGGATTAGTTGCTTAAAAGGTGAAAATTTACCTTTGGAGAAGGCAATAGGGTATAGGATGGACAACCTTTATTGATAGTAATTTTAATCTGTTGCATTCTGGTGTTTCTTTCTGCTAATTAGAGGCTTTAAATTCTAATACACTAGACAATTAATCTTTGGCCTCAAATTTAGAGTAGATATAGCCAGTTAACTCAATCACACATTACAAACACATGTGCCCTTTGTGCAGCCTGTAGAGGCCAACTAGTGTTCTGCTCTTGCTCCGCAGAGAAGCAGTAGACCTGCCCTCACACTGGCCAGCGGGCTTTGAGGGTCCTCCAGTTTGATCTGCATAGGAGGCCTGGGGACACAGTGGTTGCAAACCACAAGATACACAGTTCATGAGTCACTCCATGGGAGAACGACAAAGCTTTCTATTCCTGGGAAGGTGTATAGTTTCAGAACCCCACAGGGAAAGTTCTGTCCTTTAGGACAGTTGGAATCAATTTGATGGCAGTGAGTTGGGCAGTAACTGCTGAGAATATTCACACAGTTGTACAATAGTAAGTTTCATTATGGGCTCTAACAAAAGTCATATTTTCCACAGTTGGTTATGGACACCCGAGTGGAAGGTCATTTTAACCCTTTCGTGACCAAATTGTTTTCCACTTTGATACCATGTGTTTTCATTAATTAAATGTATACCAAACATCAAGGAACATTTCTGAAATGTTCTCAGGACATGTCAATTTTGATGCATATTATGCAGAAAACAAATGTCTTACTAGAGTTTGAGTTGTATTATGTGAGATATATGTGATACTCTGTACTCCAGAGGTAAAATTATGTGGCACACACTTGTCCCTATGGACTCTACACTACCTTCCAGATCCCTTGTCAGTGTGTGCAATTCCTGGTACCTGAAAATACAGAATTCTGTGACCATAGAATCCTTGTTGAGATGAATGAGAGAGGCAACTTCCAAACCCAACACAGGGACCCAGGAAATACACTCACAAAGCTTATGTCCCACCAAAAAGAAGCCAAAAAAGACAGACGTTTCATAAAAAGTATACCACTAGCATGGCATTTAACCTATATTTTATATTAAACCCAAACTCCAACCCACTGCCATAGAGTGGATTCAGACTCGCAGTGTCCCTATAGAGTCTACAGATTCTATACTGTAGTCTATAGTATTGCCCCTACAGAGGAGAAGTGTTCCTCAGATTTCTGAGACTGTCGGTCTTTACGGGAGCAGGCAGTTTCATCTTCTTCCCAGGAGCAGCGGGTGGTTTTGAACCTCTGAGGGTGTGGTTATCCGTGCACTGTGGCACCACTGTGACTCCTCTCCTCTCATTCCCTAAACCTGTAAAAACAGTGATTTGTGATCTGCCCATGTCTCCCCACTGTAGACAGTTATATGGGTCCCCTCTGACAGCCACCTCCCCTGCCCATGGGAAAGCAGATGCCCAATAAACCCCAGAGGAAGCAGATGAATGTGGGCACGCTAAATCCCACAAGTCGTGAATGAGTTAATAAATGTTCAGCGATCACCCTCAGTTTTTTTTAAGTCCTCAAATGAAATTCCTGGGCAGGTTGTCTACCATCAAACATACATATATTTCCTCTGCCGTCAAAACTTTTACAGAGCTCAGCATCTCCTTGACCTTGAAGAATTCTCAGGATCCTCACGCTTTGATGACTCATCGACACCGGGTATCGTTCATCTCAGGCGTTTAGGTGTTCTAGCTCCCCTGCAAGTGCAAAGGGATCTCTTCGATACTTACTGATGTAAAAGCTCACTGACTTTGCTGACTGACTTGTTCGAGTTTCACAAGATCCTGAGGAGCTGAACGTTGTCACTGATAATTTATATTTCCCAGGCTCTTTCAGTTCAGCAACAAATTCGTGTGCTTCTTCGCCCACTGTCACATATTCAGTAAAGTTTTCTGAATCGTATATAAAAAAGAGAATATGTATGGATGAATGAACACTTGCAAGGACTCTGGCTACAGACAATCCAATTCGTTAGAAAACAAACAAACAAACAAACAGAACACCGCGTCGTTTCATGTGCCTTTCTTCCTTTTGCCCAGTTGACGTGCACCTGGAAACTAAAGGCGCTGGACAGCCTGGGAGAACAGGAGATCCAACCGGTTTTTTCCATATTTTTAATTACCAAATAAAGTAAAACCGGGATGCTTATATATGGCATACATTTGTGTACTGTTCTCTAGACAGATGTGCTGCATAAAATAGAAATACAGTATTAAGGGTAGGTAGCACTCATCAACCTGCTCGTCTCAGGACATAAAGAATTTTAAAAATCGCCAGGACCGAATTTCTTATGATCTCTTCATGGTAGTATTAAATAACTAGAAATGTCTTTGATCTTTTCAGTTATGATCATTTTTTCAGGATATATTTCCTGACATTTGCAGTAATTTTTCCTTCGTCTGTTTGCTTCCAGAGACTTTGAAAAGTAAAACTTATTTTGCATGGCTTCAAAGTTCATCCCCTGCTGCTCATTGCTCTTTGGAAGTCATTACCATCAATTGGTGGGGACTATTGCCTTCAAAAGAACACACTGCTGGCTGATAAAAAGTATTGCTGGATCTTCCTAAAAGTAGGCAGAGAAAATATTTTGAGTCACAAAGGCCCTATTTTCCATAGAACATATTGGGGAACAGAAAAATAAAATATAGATTAAGGACATTTTCTAATGAAAATAATTCGAGGCAAGTATTAAAATTTTTGTCTCAAATAATTGGAAATGACAAAGTATTTCTATTCCATATTGTACTTGGGTTTGATTGATGGCTCCATCTAGTTAAGAGGAACCCACACATCTTTGTATCACATGCTTTTAATATAGCAGTGAATAATTTGTCTATATGAGACTACATGATACTCAGTACCTACCCTGAAAATAAGACTGTCATTCGAACTTCAAATTTTGATAATTTGGCAACTTTTGACATGTATACTACTAGACTAGAAAGCATAAAATGAAGTATGCTACTGTTAAAATAAAATTAATAGTGAATAATCATAAAAACCTACCAAGCAAACAAGTCACTATAACGTGTGGGCCAAATTTGCCAAATTCCATGACACTACCTTTAATAATCCCACTCACTGTCCTTGAGTTGATTCCGACTCATAGTGACCCTATAGGACAGGGCAGAAGAGCCCCTGTGGGGTTTTGAGATTGTTAATGCTTTATGGGAGGAGAGAGCCTTATCTTCATCCCAAGGAGTGACTGGTGGTTTCGAACTGCCGACTTTACGGTTAGCAGTCCACAATGCAAAACCACTACACCAGTGGGCTAAAGATGGAGCTCAGATGCTGGATAAGTGAATAGAAGATTTAATGAAGTAACAGTTGTGAAAGTAGCATTTGCAACGTATTTTCTCTTTTATTACAGCTCCTCTTTGGGGAAACTGTGATTGGTGATCTCTCCAGCGGGGCATCTTCTAATATTCTAAGGGGTACAAGGTAAACTAGACAAGCAGGACACAGAGATTTGTTTGACAAATTTGCATATATGAAGACAGGCATTTCCTCAAGGATATTGTGTTATTGTGGTAAGATCTTTAATTATACAACTTTAAGGTGTTTCTCAGCATCCTGGATATCTGAGATGTTGGGTAATAATACATGATATTACCAAAGGTTGAAATTTATGAGTTACCCAAATCTTCTGAGTTTTGGTCCAATCTATCCATTTTTGTTTTTTAGTCTCAGTCTGTCTTGTGTATTGAATCAAGTTCTTCTTTCTCTTTACCATTTTCTTAGGTATAAACTCATTTCCATCTCTTTTAAATCTCAAATTAAAAAATATCAATTCCCTTTCCACTGCTAAGTAACCCTGGGGATGCAGTGGGTTAAGCGTTGAGCTATGAACTGACTGGATGGCAGTTTGAATCCATCAGCTGCTTTGTACGAGAAAAATGAGGCAGTCTGTCCACACAAAGATTTATAGCCTTGGAAACCCGGGCATTTCTACTCTGTCCGATAGGGTCATTGTGAGCTGGAATCAACACAGTAACAGTGGGTTTTCTTTTAGTTCTTTTAACCCCCTTTTATTATATCATTACTCAGTCCCCCCACCCTCACCCCCGATTTGCTATGGCTTTACCTTCTCTTTCTATGTAAATGTGGAACCCATCAAAGGCAGTGGGTGGCTTCGGTGGTAACCAGCTCAATATCATTTGGACAGGGAAAAACGCAAAGGAGCCTGATAAGGATTTTTCACTCTCCCCGAGTGTGTTATTATTGTTGTTGTTGTCATATTCCATGGGAAGTACACTGACAAATCCGTCTTCCTTTTCAGGAGTTGCAGGTGCCCTGTCCCACCAATACGGCTGAGATGTCGTTTCGTAGTCACTGAGGTTAAAATCCGGCCAACCCAAAGAAATGTTGCCAGAGGGGATTTCAGGAGTTTCGACCGGGAAATCGAAGAGTTTGTCTTTTCCCAGGGATTGATCTGATGATCTCATGAATGATTCCTCCGGGAAACTGCCACTCTCTTCCTCCCAGCTGTTTTTGTTCAAGTTCACAATGCGAACTGAAATATTTCGGGGGGGATAAGGGGCTGCAAGAGACAGAATTTTCACCTGTAAGTATTCTCTTTAACTCTAACCTAGTGAATAAGGCGAGAAACGCATAAGGAGATTGACAAGATAACATTTAATTTTACTTCTAATATCTATTCAAATTTGTAAAGAACAATTGTGATTTAAAGAAGAAGCACTTCTAAGTTTCTGTGCGTGATGTATGTCTATTAGAGCATCACCAGTAACACTTCAAATCCACTCACTTGTCAACATGGTAATTGAACTATTTATGTAGCACACTTCAAGAGCCCTTAATTTTGACGCAATGGGTTAGACATTGGACCGCTAACCACGAGGTTGGTAGTTCAAACCCACTAGCTACTCTGTGGGAGAAAGATTGAACTGTACCCATAAAGACTCAACAGTTTCAGAAACTTGATAGCGGGTCACTCGAAGTCAGAATTGACTTGATAGCAATGCGTAGCACAGTTATGCAAATATTCTTTTGCTTATAACAATTTTATTTAAAACTTTAAAGACCTAAATCTCTATTCCTGGATTTTGTTCAGGAGAAAGTAACCATAGGGTTCTTAGGGGTCCAAGTGAGGAAAGGTGGACACGAGTTGTCTCTAGAGACAGTCACATACAGGCTGGAGTGAAGACTTCACACATCTACTGTCTAAAATGACACGAGTATAAAATGAAGCATCTTTTTATAGCGCATGGAAGCCTACTTTTCTAGCGATAGGAAGCTATGAATGATTTCTTCTTGCAACATTTTGTATCCATCTTTCTTTCACATGCCTGCTCAAACGTTCTCTCTTCCATGGACTTCGAATAAAAGTGTTGTTCCTTCCTTTGGGCTGTCATATACCTCTGCACCCACACATACACACTTATTAAGTTGGACACTTCCGAACACTCACCAGTTCTATGCTGCTTGGGGTCATGACTGACACCACTGTACTCCACAAGAGTACTTTTATTGAACATGGCTTCGGACACCAGCTGGAAGGTGATATTGCTATAACATATTCCTGGGAGCCAGTGGTTGAACACTGTTTTTCCCTTAAAGAAGTCTGGGAAGAGAAAAATCAATTATATTAAATATATAATCCAAGGACCGCACACTTATAGAACATTCTAACTTTAATCAATAATGAAATACAAATGAGGAGAAAGATAGGGATGAAAGTGTAATAACTCCTCAGACTTTCCACTGGAAAGACCAGTATCCGTCTGGGGCCTGGGTGTGCTCAGAGTTGAATTCTTATTATAGGAACTTCTAGGATGTTAAATGGAGAAGATTGTTGTCAGGAGCTTATATCAACCTGTTAACCTGATGTACAAAAGAATGAAGCACTGTCTAATCCTGCACCATCTTTGTAGTAAGCCCTGACCTTGTTCTGTCTGATGATAGTGAGATTTCCCCATCGTCCCTTTTCATAGATGTGGTTGATATAATTCCAGTATGTTCTATGTGGTGAGGCTCAGGCACAGTTACCATTTATGTGGTTGAAAACATGTACTTCTGTTGAGTAAGTCTTTGGTCTTGCAAAATTCTATCACGTGATTTCAGACTTGTTTCTATTTCCCGGGCAAAACTTTCCAACTACCATTCTGTCTTTGTTTCCAACTTTCCTGTTCTGATCCCCAGTAATTTCTAATGCATCTTGGTTGTCTTTCTAGCTAATTTCAGATGGCAGAAGTTGGTAATTATCTTTAATATCTTCCAGGATGGATCTTGAAAATTTTTACCTTTAAAATTTTTTTTGACAATAAATGAAATGCTTTTCCTTCTTAATTTGCCATTCCCAGAATAGACCATATGCGTCTCCAATTAAAAAAATGGCCAGCACCAGTTTATTTCAGCTCACTAATGCCTAGACTGTCTACCTTCATGTGTTCCATTTCATTTTTGACAGCTTCCCCTTCTTGATCAGACTTGGTATATTCCACATCCCAATTGCTAATGGATACTTGAGCTGAGTCTTCCAGGACTTGTGTGTCAGTTTGCCATATGGTACAGTCGTGGTTTGGTTTGAGTGTGGCTGTGATGTTGGAAGCTCTGTCACTGGTATTTCAAATATCAGCATCGTCACCTAGGGTGGACAGGTTTCAATAGAGCTTTGAGACTAAGAGTAGGGTAGGAAGAAGGAAAAGGTACTCCACTTCTGAACCACAGAAAGGCCATTGAGAACCTTCTGGATAACAGTGGACCATTGTCTGCGACAGCGCAGGAAGCTTGTTCTCTCCGGTTGAAAGCACTCATCATATGACTGAGGAAGAACAGCCTCTTCAAAGCAGTCAACTCCAACACTGTACTGGGGGTCAAGCTTTTGGGACATTCATTTATTTATGTGGAACTACTGAAAATGAGAAGAAATAGTAGAGAAGATAGTGTGCAGAAGTTCTGAGACTTGATTTATTTTTAATATTTGGTTTAAGATTTAAAACCCAAAGAATGTTATCATTTTTTGATAGAGAAAAAAGTGATTTTTCCAAGCTTTGCTTTCAGAAAGGTTTGCTTGTTAAAATAAACTTCCTTTAAAATCAATCAGTGTTTCTGCTAATTGGCAGGTGAGATTTGCTCAAAGAAAGAATAAATGAAAATTTGGATTCAGCATGGATACCACTGAAGAAAACTGTATACATTAAAAAAATTCAATCCAAGTTAAAAATAAATAAGGGAAAAGAAAAGTTCAATTTATTGAATTACCAAAATTAGAAATAGTTAAGAAATTGCACTGACCTTAAAAAATAGGAGCTGATGAACTTATTTTTAAACCATGGTTTGTAACTCAACCCAATTTCTTTCAGTGATGGCTTGTTACTTGTTGATGAACTTGTGTTTGCGTATGATGAGTCAATAAATATGGTCTTAATAATTTTCAGAAAATCTATTTTCATTGAAAATAAAGAATACAAGTCTGTGGTGCCTATGTTTATGTTTATAGAATTTTACGTAAAAAGCACTGGAATGGTTTCAAACAGGATCTCACCAATGAGATCCTCTGAAGACAGAAGTTTGTAAATGCAGCAAGTCCTAGTAGTATATTTCTAGATACCATGCCCTGTGTATAGGGTAGAATGTAGTTGATGTAAACAGTTAATGTGCTTTGCTGTTAACTAAAGAAGGGTGATTTGAAGCCACCTACAGGTACCTTGAGAGATAGGCCTGCTGATCTATTTTTGGAAATTAAAATTTTATTGAGGGCAGTTCTATGCAGAAACTCCCAGGAATCCATATGATAGCAACTGGTTTTACGTGCTTTCTTTTCCATCGTTATATGCTTCAGCTATACTCAGTCAGCTTTGATAGCATCATTCGACAATCCTGCAGCGATGTTTTTGTCTTGGCAGTATTCAACTTCTTACACTTAGATCTTCTCTTAATGCAGCCGAATTATCTTTTGTCTCTGTTGTCTTTAGCTTTGCTTTTGTCTCTCTGTTTCTCTCTCTCTCTCTCTCTCACACACACACACACACACACACACACACACACACACACACACCTATGCATGCACATAGTCTACCTAGGGAGGTTGACATTATTCTTTGGAATGATTTGAGTAATTAATTCCCCTGGGCTCTCTCCTCTCATCTCTCTATAGGGTTCTCCCCATCAAGCCAGTCAAAACAGTGAAACCAATTTCCATATATTATTGCAATCATTTAGCTTGTCATACTGTTATTTGTATTTTGAGTTTGAGGGTAATCTTTGTGCTGTCTTTGTGAAGGGTATCCCTTAAGCTTGAGATTCCTAAAGATGTTTTTTAACCCTCTTTAACATATCCAGAAGGATTTGGTTAGGTAAATGCTTAGGTGAGTCAGGTACGTGTGTATTTATTTTTTTCACCAGATATGCTAGCTTTAGCAAGAAAAACGTGGTAACAATTTAAATGTTTCTCATGCTGTATGCATGGCATGCAACCAGATGACCTAAGACTCCCCAAGACAAGATTTTCATTGTTCAATAATTATTTTTAATGGTTCATTTATAGGTCAAATAGTGAATTACAAAACCTCTTTAGTGCAGGAGGGAAGAGTATTTTGCAAAAATCATATGACAAGAGACTCAGCCATCATCTATATACTGAACCTTCCTTTTGTCTTACCTTTGTATAGCATTGTCCGGAAGTCTTTACCTTCCCAGTAGCTTATATTTACTCTCGTGAAAACGTTATATTTTTCTGGATAATGAATCTCGAACAGCACTCCTGTTTCAGGAGAAGGTTTGTAATCATATATTGAAACACTGGTTACAGGTAGAGGTTCTAAAGAATGTAATTAAATGGAGTAACAGGAAAGAAAGAGAAAGGCAATTATCAATATTTGGGCATAGCAAAGAGTATATGAATTAAAATCCCAAATGAAACCAGCTACCATTTGAGTCAATTTTGATAGATTAAAACTTCACACAAAAATCCTTTTTTCCTTCCCCTGAGTCCTGAACACCATAATGCTCAGGGATTTAGTGTTCCTCCTCACAGAAAGAATAGTGTGATAACGATTTAAGAATTTTTCATTCTGTATGTAAGCATTTCTG